CTCGATCCTAATAATTTTTTTAATTTTATTATATATATATATATATACATTCAATAGACTTTCTTTTGAATAAAATATTTAACTTTTTTTTACTAGATGATTTTATTTTGCATAGAATGTACATTAATTTCTGATTGATTATCTATTAAAAGTTTTTGTTATTGATATTAAGAAATTTTGCAAATGAAATTTTACATATATACATATACACACATACATACATATATTCAGCGACAAAAATTCAGTCATCATAAATAAAACAAAGCAAGTCGATGAATCACGTTCTTTCCAGGAAATACAATGTTAAAGGATATTTGAAATATTCGGCATTATTCCTAAAGAATACCCATGCAAAATCAGCGGAAATCTTGTAAAGAAAAAAATTTAATTTTAAAACACGTGTCGTTTACGTTCTAAATCATCAATATCAATGATATTTATTCATCTCACGAAGCAACGAAGCAAAGCCTCGAATCAACGAATTAACGCTTTAATTAACACTTTAAATCTTCCAAAGAGAAGATCCTTGATCAGGAGTCACATTTATTTTCGTCTAGATTGCCCGATGTCAGTCAGGAAACCCATCCATTTCTTCGATCGTTTTCATAGAAACTGATTCTCGTATCCCGGTACCTACCTGCATCTGATTAGCCAGGAGTCTGAGGACGTCCCTGTTATACACCTGTTGTTCGGACGGCACCATCAATCTGTGTATCGACTTGAGAACATCCGGCAGTTCCCCCAATCTCGGCGATACGCAGGATTTGGCGAACTGCACTATCGTGTACCTTTCGTATCTGTCCGGATTGTCCGCGTACATCTCGAAGATCTTGTACAGCCCTTGCACCTGGCCGATGTAACGGTCCAGCTCTCTCAGGCTGTCGTCGAGCCTGCGCTGCATCGGGAGTCGCAACAGCAGCTGCGTCAGAATCGTGTCGGCCTTGATCTCCATCCTTTCCTGATAGATGTCGATCTTTTTGGAGACCAGGTCGATCCGCCGTCGCAACTCCCGCTCCATTCTCTTCACGAGCAAGTCCTGGCCGCCCTCCTGTTCGACGGGGCCGTGCGTATGGATCATCTCCCAGGACTCCAGCATCTCCACCACGGTCTCGCGACCCAACTTGATCAGATCCAGCGCGTCGTTCAGGCTAACGTCGAAGCCATGGCTGGCGCTCGCCAGCGCCAGGACGACGAGCAGGACCGTCGTTCCTCGACGGTTCCTGGCCATTTAGGAAAGTAGCGCGAGACGACAAAGACCAAGATGTCGGATGGACGGATGGCGGAAACACACTCGCCGTTGGTCTGTTATTGGCGACGCTAACACGCCAGGACTAACGGCTGCTGCCGTTCACTCGGTTGGGTTGGCGGTTGGACGATGTGAATGGTAGGGGATATTGCACCCACAGCCACAAGATATGAATGGAACAAGTCTGTTCGATTTAATTGTATCCAGTTGCGTCTTCTTGTCTCGTCGTAGCAGTACACACTGCTTTGTTCCTCTTTTACTTCTTGTTCTCAAAATAAAATCGATCCGTAAGGGTGTATTCATATCAGGGGCATAAAACAAAATATAAATAAGCAGAGTTTGTTAAAGCTAAAAGAAAGGTACATTTGTACTGTCACTGTATTCTGCTATACGATAATTTGCTTTTTTATGGATTGACTTTAACAAATTCAGTTTTTTTCGCATTCCATTTTTCACTCCTAATGTGAATGTATCCTAATTGGACGGAATCGGATGAAAGATATGAAAAGTTCAGCTACGAAGATGAAATCAAAGAGCGCTACACGCTTAAAGATGTCCAGTGCGAGAGAATAATGCACTTTAATCGAAGAAATATTCGACATTCTACTAAAAATGTGATAATATTAAGAGAGGATATTTTATAATAAAATATTTATTATGTTACGTTTTTTTTTAATTAAATGACATTGTGTGCAGCAGACTTTAAACTTTACACTAAAACGATGCGGCGCAAGCGATCGAAATCGCGCTGCAAAAACAAAAGCTGGACGATGCGCGCATTTATCTATAGTCCATGTCACGTATACTGTAATAAAATGCGCCTATATATGCGCTTTACAGAATCCAGCCAGAGATTCGAGATATCTAAATAAAAAGAAATAAATCTGATATAACTATTATCGGATGAAAGGAAGAAAATGATATTGATTCGCAATTCAGAAAAAAGAATTGATATTAATAAACTGAAAGAACTCGATATTGTACAAATTATTTGAATTTGAATTAAATCGAATTTGTTTTAATTTGAATCTGAATTATTCAAAAATTTCGAATCGTAAAAAATTCAAATATGAATCGTATGTATTAATTCGAATAACCGGCTTAAATAATCACATTTAAAAATATAGAACATATACAACATATAGAAAATATACAACATATAATTGAAAATCTAATATAAAGTTTCTAAAATTTATTAATAAAATGTTTATATGAAATTAAAATTAACGCTATTGAAATTGAGATAAAATAAATTTTGTGAATAACAAATTTTTTTACATTTTTCTTTCTTGAATTAATAAGTAATTTAAACTAATTTATTTTCTAAATAATTTACATTAAATTATGTTATATAATTTATTACACGATTCACAATGTTTATGGACAAAAAAGAATTAAAAGATAATTGTCACCACATTTTATTTGATCAGACGAAAAAATTAGTCTGCTATAAAATGAACTTTAACATCCATTACATTTGTTTATATAAGAATGTTATGAGATATGCTCTTACGTAAGGTTGTGTGTGATTGGCTTAAATCCTGTATATTACCTGAGATACAAAGAGATGCAAAGAGATTATAAATTCATATCTGTCATCAAAAAATGTGCTTCGTAATACAATTTAATGACATTGCTATACTAGAGATTAGTGTAAGTTAATTAAATATTTTATTTAAAAATTTTACGAGGATGTTTATAACGTAATAATTATAAAATCGATATATCATTAAATTGGCACATAATATATATTGATATATGAATATTTACAGAGAATTACTGATGAATCAATACAATGTGTTATATATCTTATTATTGATGTTGATCATATGTATATCAAATATAATAAAATAATTTTTTTTTTGCATTTTAGGTGGCCTTCTATGAGATTTTAAATGGTCTGTGGGTTCGCAATGGATTGCAAATAAAGGGCCAAGCCATGACCTATATACAGTGCAATTTCTGCAATTCTATGGTGGACGCGGATTTATATCTACTGCAAATCTGTGCTACAAAGTTACTGCCAGATGTCTTTTTGAAAACCGTTATTGAAAAGTAATGTTCTCTGTCTTGTTCGTTACTTTATTTTAAGTCGATGAGACAACGATCTAATGCGATGTTAAAATAATTTTTATACAGATTTCACGTAAGGGAATGGATGAGTTTATGTCTATATCATGCCCCACAAAATGAATATCTTGAGGGCGAGCATGATACTCCGATGTTAGAGAGCTGCCTAACATTTTTAGCTACGTTGGTCAACGTAAGAACGAATCTCGGTAAATTTCTGCCAAGTTTTTAGAAATCTCATCTTTTTTATTTAATAATAAATTTCCTAATCTCGGAAATAATAGCAAAATAATTACACCAAGAATATTAAATATTTACTGTTCATATTTTTCTTGCATTAGGTTTATCGGATTCTGATATGTCTCGCCTTGAAATGGTAACTTTACTGTGTATGGGTGATAAGACGCATAGTCAATTGATGGAACTGATGCCCGAACGCTGTGGAACCACTCAAAACAGAGATTTTGAGTCAGTCTTAGCTGATGTACGTTTGTTGATATATTATTTGTTATTACATAGAATTTTTCTATCAAATATTGATTTTCATATATTTAACGGCACAATATGCTTATAGGTAGCACAGTACAGGGCTCCGAATCTCGAGGCAAGCGGTAATATGCAACAAGGCATGTATGGACCAAAACCTCGCGTTTGGGACGAGTTATTTGATCCTTTACATGTTTTGTTAAGAGCGGTACACAGAAGGGATTTCCAAGTATCTATGGATCGTTTTACAGATTAGTATGTATAATGTCAGATTTAATGTCCCCTACACATCCGTTTTTCCATTATTCCATTTTTGATAAATACTTTTCTCTTGTAGCGTGAAGCAATCGGGCAAGCTAAAAAATGGTGCAACTCCCTGGCCACCATTTAGGCATCCAGCTCCGGTTTCACCGGACTACGATGATCCTCGGATTGTTCTACGCACCAGAGTTTTTCATGCTATGATCCTGATAATACTCTATAAGGCTGTGAACGGGCATAACATATCAGAACATGTTATGGCATTGGCTATTTACCTCTTAGAAATGGCAGTTTTTACCGCGGAACCGCCAAATAAATCTGTGAGCAATTCTTTTGATAGAAAAAAATTGATCTTTAAGTTGCTTCGAATGATCTATTCAAATTTTAAGTTATTATATATGTAATAAGATAGAAAGATAAGAAAGTAAATAATTTGAAAGATGTACATTTTATTTTATGTTTGAGTTTGCTTATTTTATAGCTTTTTTTGGAATCTTATTTATCTTGCTCTTCACATATATAATATAATTATTTCCAGGTAAGCCCTTTATGCCAATACACTGGAGGCACTTCTCGTGTGATAAAGGACATGGATTTAGCTGGGTGGTACGAAAGTGACAACTTGTTCGAAAATCTAAGGACAGTGATACCTCGAGTGATTCTAGTCCAAGAGTCGGAGCCGAACAGCTCAGACAGTGAGTATGATTGATTAAGGAGGCCTTTCATCTTTGCCGAAAATTAGACTATTTTTATATTTATATATTATTTTTTTGGAGAAATTGGTTTAATATGGAAAGATTTTTTCATATGATTAATTATAATATTTGAATTGATAAAAAATATTGTTTATTTAAAAAGATATATATTAATGTTTCAAAATAACGATCGAATTAAAGGCCCACTGGAAATACACATCTTCATTATTAATTGAGCTTCTATAAATTATCTGATATCAAAATTTCTTCGATTTTTATCAATTATATGAGTATCGCTGAGGAAGTAGAACAAAACTAATTGCATGGAATTTAGAAATATTTAAAAAAAATTTGCTTTTTATTTTGATAAATTATTACGTTTTTTCACTTTTTGTTCATTTACAAAAAAATCAAATTTTTGTTGTAAAAATGTAATTATTCCAGACACGCGCAAAAAGGTTAGAATATTTTAACTAAAATAGTGAAGTGAATAGTATTTAAGTATCCATATGCGCTTGGAGGGCCTATGTACGTTTGACGTATTTGAGCTAATAGCTTCATTAATATTGCGTATCTCAAAAAAAAAAATAACAGAATTAATATAAGTTATAAGTTTGTATATAATACATATTAATGTATTTAGTACGATTTAAATTACGTGCTAATTTGATAATGATTAGGCGAATTTGAGTGGGAGATTCAAGGAGAGATGAGCGAAGTAGCATCATCCTTAATGCTGAATGATGGCGCGGATGACGGCGTGGAGGAAGGCTCTCTGGAGCTCTTAGGGTTTTCTGTAGACACTGTTAGAGAGGACAATGCTGTGTCGAGTGCAAGTGTGTCATCTCTGCCAGCTTTACTACCGTCAGTTGAAACAGCTACATCTCTGCCAGCATTACCATCAACAAGTGGTTTGCAAATTTTTTATGTAGATTATAAGATACTTTATATATATATATATATAAAACATCTTATAATATATATTTGATCATAAGTATTTTATATGTATCTGATAAAAAGGTATATTTAAAGAAAAAATTTGTTATATTTTTTCCTTTAAACATTTTTTTTTATAAATAATTTATATATTATATTCTTATAGTGGAATATGACGTGGTACCTGAAGACGGAATCGTCGCCATAGCTCGTAGTAACAGCGAGGATGATTTAACGATACCTTTGCAAAGAGCTCTACCACCATCCGGAGAAGAATCTATGGCTTTAGCAATTGAATCGCCTCCTTCACCAAATAGTATGTTTTTCAAATATATTTCTTTTTTTATTATTAAATTTTATTGTTTATGTTAACGATTTCCAAAAGTAAATGATACTTTTCAGAATATTATCTCGATGTTAATTTTTTTAAATTTTTATTGTTAAATTTTATTTTATTAGATTAGATAGATCAATATCCAAGTTTTTATATATCATAATAATATATTTTATTTAATTGATGATGTTTTTAATAACAATTAGATGTAGTCGGTGGCCAACCTGCATTACCACCTGCTCCTCAACGTCCAGCAGTTATGGCTGGAAACGAAATAGTTGCACAACCAGTTGGTTACAGAATATTACATACTACAGAAATTATTCCATCCACATCAAATCCTCACAAACATTTTAAAAGGAGAGAGCCACAAGTAATATAAACTTTTGATAAGTAGTATATATCTTAATATATTCATAGCTTTATTTAATTTATTTGCATAAAATATATTCATATATCTTTTAGGGTGGACCAATACAACCGCAATCCGTAAAAGTGGGAGAGAGCATAATTTCTTTATTGTTAAAACTACATTCTCAATTATCGGGTGTACCAGACAGTTACAATCCTGAACAAATGTCGGATAATGAAGCCAGTAGCAGTAGTACTAGCAATAATAATAATAGTCCTTCTATATCAACGTCGCCTAATGAATCGCGAATTGGCGATGGACCGTTTTTCATATTACAGTTACTTAGAAAAATAGCAGATTTAGATCCGATATGTAAACAAACCATCATCGAGACCAGAAACAAATTGTGGCCTCGTATGCAGGAATGCGAGGAGGATGAGCAACGTGAAAAGGAGAATCGTGAAAGAGAGAAACGACGAAGAAGAGCGAAAGAAAGGCAGCAGAAACTGATGGCAGAATTTGCTAACCAACAGAAACAATTTATGGAAAAAGCAATGAAGACTGGTAAATTATATATAATACATTTATATATGCAAATAATTATAAATATTTGTAAAAATTATAATATTGTTACGTCTACGGTCTCTCATACGAATCAAACACGCTTCCGCGACTCGTGGAATAAATGGACACGATTTTGGAAAAAAACACACTTTAATGAAACAGGAAAATATAGCCATATATACAGCAGAACTTACGCCTGTCAGCTTTCCGTCAAAAGCAGTCCAAACAACCGTCAAGAGAACGCTTCTTCCTATCTTCAACCGAGCGATTTCGCTCAGTTGAAATCAAAGATTTCGAATCTCGATTTCGCTTGAATTCAAAGGTGGCATCTCTCGCGGATGTAACAATATTCTTATTTTTAATATTTTATTGTAAAAGCAAAAACGTGAATAAGAACCTGATATTTGAGCAATCGGTTATATCAATTAAATGAAATTTTATTCTCACAGAGGAAGCAGGTGCATCCGGAATGGATTGGGATCAGGAAGAAAATAAGACTAAATTGACTAGTAAAAAGGAGTATGATTGTGTGATATGTAATCAAACCACTCCTAGCAGTGAAGACAAGCCGATGGGACTTGTTGTATTAGTTCAAGTAATATTTCTATTTAATTCTTGAAATTGCTCTTTGCTCTTATTTTTTGCTGAAAAACATTTTGTTTGTATAACATATTAGATAATAATTTAAGAGCATAATTTTATATTTTGTATTTATTTTCATGTTTTACATACACGCGCGCACGCACACATACATACATTATATATATATATATTATACATATATATTATACATATATATTATACATATATACATATACGCGTTTTTCCGATATAGGCGACTAGTATCATTGGTCATGAACGACAACAATCGGACAGGCTAGTTCTTCCCACATCCGACGAGGATCCGCCTATACCGAAGGGAGATACTCGAGGCGCTCATTTTGACCGCAGAATGGAAGAAATGAATAATTTATTCGATACAGTGAGTGAATAAATATACAAATATATGTACTTAACAATCTTTTATATATTTTTAAAATGTTTTTTTATCCAAGTTCTTTCAATATATTGTGTTTTTTATTTTAATACATTATATGCCATATGATGAAAATTTAGAATCATTACTTGATTATCGACCTTACTGTACAATGAAATAATCTCACGATGAGATATTTACTGAATTAATTTTATTTTCTGACTTTACATCTTACATGTAAAAATTTGATAACTCGGACACATTTTCACCGAATACGAAGAAATATAAATCAATACAAATTCTTAATTTTGGAAAAGACGAAAAATATATATCATGATTTTTCAAAATTTATTCAATGCATTTAACAAGAAAAAAACAAAAAAATTAGATACATATATTATCAAATATCACTGCATATATTATCTACATATATTATTCACTACATATATTATCAAATATCACACAATTCTTTTGAAAAATATGATGTATTTCAAAAAACATCGATTCATTTTGATTTTGTACTTTCCATATATTTATAATATTTTTATTTATAGTATTTTTATTTAAATTATTATGTGATTATTTTGAAGTAAATCAATATGAATTGTTTAATAAAAATATTTTTTTTAATGTTTTATAATTTATATTTTATAAAATGTTTATTTTTTAAAACAAGCAAAAAGGAAATAAGCATATAATTTGTTCAATATTAATATTTGTTCAATGAGTGATACATATATATTTTTTTTAATTTGCAGTTGTCTTGGTTGCTCTCAGTTAATTTGGGATGGGAAGGTGGCGTCCATGTGCAAACATGTGGTCATCATCTACATCTGGATTGTTTAAAATCCTATCTGGAGTCCCTTCGTAGTCAACAGCGACAACAGAGTCTGGCAGTGGAACGAGGCGAATACTTATGTCCGCTGTGTCGGCAATTAGCTAACTCTGTTCTGCCGCTATCGCCACAATTAGGCGAATGCTCGGCGGTAGTGCGATCTCGTCATGCTTCCACGGAGACTATACTCGCGGATCTGAATACTTTTCTCAAAGAGATACAACGAAATCCTGTATGTATGCAGTAGCTTTTTTTCTTTCAACATTAAAAAATACAACTAATATTCTTTTATATTTTCAATTAAAAATTTTAGGAATAAATTTGCTAAACGTATCTATCGTTTCCAGGCCTCTTCAAATTTGGCTGTGGCGATGGGAAAGGCTATGGAGGATATGACGAGTTGCACGTATCTAAAATATAAGCAAAAGAACTGTAAACCTAGTCACCAAAGCTTGTTCCTTTTTGTAACTTCGGTAGCTCGAACTAACTTTGAGATTGAACTTGTACAACGCGGCGGATCGTTATGCGTTCCATCACCTACTATGATACCTCTGACTCCTAAGCGTGATTGCATAGGTACGTTTATTAATCAATTTCATATTTAAATTTTTTGATTTCTATTTATGTATCATACACTCGAGAGCGAACGTGGCATACTAGACAGTGCACCGGTCTACTATGCCAGAGGTTCCGGATTCGATTCCCGGCAGAGTCAAAATATTTACGCTTGTATTACGCTCTGCTCTCGGAAAGCAATGGCAAATCATCGAAAGTAACTTTGCCATGAGCGTCTCTCTACCAAAAATTTGCCGTTCGGAACCGGCGTTAAACTGTAAGTTTAATATGCCTGTGTATAATCATCGTGCGCACCACAGGTATATGAGAGAGATCACTATGCTCGAATACGAGCAATAGAACTAGAAAGATCATACATTCGTGATATTAATCTGTAAATATGAAAACCTGATGAGAAATGTGTGTGTGTGCGTGCGTGTGTGTGTGTGCATATGTATGTATTTATGTATATATGTATATTTATACTTCTTTTAGTTGCGCTTCTTCACGTCTTGGCAATGCATGCTCGAGTACTGACCACATGGCCAGTGCATCACGTATGGCAGCAACTATCTGGCATATCGCTGACAGAAGAATCGGCATCCTCGCTCGCCTTGACGCCACACGACGACAGACAGGTTCCTTTGCTTCTACGAGATCCAACCGCCATGCTCATTCAATTTATTTTACTGCTGCCGTTACATTTGGATCAAAGTATGCATAATTCAAGAATTTTTTCTTTGTATTCTACATCTTAAATAAATTGTGTAATACGAGGATGCATATTTGAAACATATATATTTTTATAATTTATATTTGATATATTATTGTATATATATTTAAATAATAAATGAATTAATATTCCCCCTTTTTTCAGCATACTTTTCCGGCGTAGTAAAGGTCCTTTACAACCTACTGTATTATCAAGTAATACTTCAAATAAGCTGTAACCTCTCACAAACAGAACGAAACACAATTCTGAAGAGGAGATGTAGTTGCAACACCACGCCTTCAGAGACCATACTGGCCGGAATTATCGAATATTTCGGCGAAAGTGGACTCTATACTGGCGCAGATGACGACAAACCGTCCACTTCGTCGTCTCCTACTTACGCCAGAGTGAAAACACACGGCGTCGAGCAACAAGTATATTCTATAAATAAAATATATACTTTAGCAAAGCATATTTTTTCAAAATTAACATTTTACGAAATAATTTGTTATACATTTTATATATCACATTTAAACAGTAGTAAAATATTTTAGAAGCGGGTAAAACTTACATTATTTCATGTTATTACAAATTCATTATTTCTAGATGAACTTTAATTATTCCTAAAAAAAAAATGTTTTAACGTGAATTTTTATGTATTGTTATACATAATTATATGATTTCAATTATTTATATTTTATTTGATTCATTCAGATCCAATCGTTGTGTCTGCCGTTTCTGCGAGTGGCGTCATTGTTACGTTATCATCTGTATGAGCAGCCACTGCCACTGATCAGAACGTCGCAGAGTGAATTTGTGACGTTGGTATATTATCTGGAACTAGTCACAGAAGGCATGAGCTGGAACTGCTTTGACTCAACAGTAGCGTTGAATTGGCAAGAGCCAGAGGCAAGTGTCTCGGTGCCTCTCTTTTGGTGTGATCAATTGCTCGCTTTTCTTGCTAACTGGCGAGGCCACCAGCCAGCTCGGAACATGATTATGGAACAGCATATATCATGGCACGTGCCGAAGCTGCTTAGTCTTCCAAGGGAATATGAGAAGATCTTCACGGTAGGATTTAATAATTAGAATATATTCGTTATATTATATTCGTTTAAAATTTAAAAAATATGTATATGGAGATTCATTAATTTGACTAATTAAGAAGAAAAAGACAATGGAGTATTTGCGAGTTAAATAATAGTAACTATAAAAGTAAATACTATACTAATATCTCAATCCAAATGTAATGTGTATATGTATACATATAACAGTAGATTTTAATATATGATTAATATTATTTATATATGTTATTTTTATTAATGTATTTATTTTCATATGTAAATTCATATGTAACATTAAATTTTTTCAGTATTACCACGAGCGGCAATGCAGTCAGTGTCATTCTGTACCACAAGAAATCAGCATCTGTTTGTTGTGCGGCACTATCGTTTGCCTCAAACAAAACTGTTGTAAACAGATGAACGTTTGCGAAGCTATTCAGGTGAGCATAGTTTACATACGCATGAAAACATAGGATCATTTACAAATATTGGATATACGCTTATAAATATTTGTTTTTGATTCTAATACATTTTTAAACATGTTTATAGCATTCAATTGATTGTGGAGGTGGCACCGGCATCTATCTTGTAGTGACATCGACTTATATTATCGTGATACGCGGCCGGCGAGCATGTTTATGGGGATCTCTGTATCTTGACGATTTTGAAGAGGAAGATAGAGACTTAAAGTGAGTATGATTTATCATAAGATTTCATAGAAAAAAAGATATATAAGCATAGTACAATTTTAAATACTATATGTCATATTCTAATTTTTAAGATATTAAAAACAAAGATAAATTTCCTTTAAATATTTAAATTTTTCTCGTGACAAGTTACAAATTAATTTTTTAATGATTTACTTAATATCGATATCATATTATTTAATAGTCTATTATTAATTATTACACACAATTTTGTTATAGACGAGGCAAACCATTATATCTTAGTCAGGATAGGTATCAGCTTTTAGAACAGCAATGGCTGGCACATAGATTCGACCATACGAAGAAGACATGGGTATGGCATCGTGACGCTCTGTGACCCTTCACAATGTTGTCGTATATTGCTCGTCGCTCCTAATCTCAGAAGAAGACTCTCTTCCTCCCTTTCTCTATTTGACTCCCGCAACTCCCATCATTTATTCTCACACAAAATGCCTCGCCTTTTCGCAGTAATGTCCGCGCGCTTTAGAGATTAAGGGAGATAGATTCGTTTTTAATAGATATTATATATTTATTATGCAATCGCGAATAAATAGACATAATAGACATAAATGATAAATGAAAGTATTAAGAAAAGGAACATTTGTCTAGGGAATACATTTTGTTCATATAGTCACGCGTAATAACTTGGATAATACGTATTAGATCTGTAGAAATTACGTATGCTCTGATACTAAAAATCTGTACATTTTATTTAAGGTATATATGCAAAATCGTATTTATTTTAATTTTTCTGTATAATTATTAGCAAAAATTAATGGTTTTGAAAAGAAATTTAAATCAAAATTGTGTTTCTTTCAATTTTGTACATCTAATTCGCAAAGTTTTTTCCATATGAAAGAAATAAAATAATTTTGATTCTTGATATATTGATTCGTGCAATAGTTGCCATTTTCGAATATGTTATAGGGAAAAATTAAAATACAATATTCTGTATATATACATATACATATATACATATATAATATATGCATATAAGCATATAAATTACGTTTAATTAATGAGAAAGGAGTACTTATTTAGTATATAGCATTTGTACCTTTTAGGAGAGGATGATATATACAAATGATAATAACTGGAAAAAAATGAAAGAAAGCTTGTGTGTTTGAAGAAAAAATCCACTCAAATTGAAAATAGATAATTTCAGATTTATTATTTATTCTTTTTTTTGT